GGTCCCGATGGTAGAAATTCCGGATCGTGACAAGTGGATTGGGATTTTCTTGTTGGTAAGCGGCGACGTTCACCGGTGGTCACTGGATGTTTGGAGCAGGTTTTCGGCATTGTATCTTACAATTATTACAATAATTTTTTAGTGTAATTTCTATCAACTATTAATTGACATCATCTTTGTAATTCGAAGTTGAAACAAATCAACGAAAATGGGATTAACTTAAGAGGATAAATTAATAGAAAAGTCATATTCATCAGGTGATATTGCTTCCTTATTAGCTAAAGTGAAGCAATTTTTTGCACAATGATAACACAAGCAGATTTCTAATTAAGTTTCACCGATTTTTTATTAACATGAGCATCTATTTAAAGGTCACAGGAAAAATAAAAACCAACAAGCAAATCCGAGAATTTCAGTGGGATCTGGAAAGGTTCTATTTTCCGGCGAAGTTAAAAAAATGGCGAAACCTCTAATTTGTTAGTTCCAATAAATTGGAAAGAAGATAAAGAAAATAAGTGGAAGAAAATGAAGGAAGGGGTTTGTGAATTTTTTGACGAGTTTCACCAGTTTCGTTTGCTTATTTGGTGGAACGGGTTTGTTGTTTGGATGATGCAACACGAAGAAAAAGAAGAAGAGAAGAAGAGAAACGAAGAGGGGGGCCAGTACAGTGGAGGTTAGTACTATCGGAGGAATTTTTCGGTGAGCTGCCATGTTATCCGGTGGTTTTGGTGTGAATTTGTTTTGGATTGAAAGAGGAAGATGAAGGTCACAGAGTCTGGTGTCTGATGATGAGGTTGATTTTAACGTGGGACATGCTGATATGGCAGCTGATGTGGACAAATTAATAGAGGGATTGGGCGCCACGATGAATATCCGTTAGGGTTAAGGGCAATTCTAGAAAGTTTGTTAATAGGGGACAAACTTAAACTATATACCATAGTATAGGGGCAATAAATTGGATCTAAAAACTATTTCGGGTCAATGAGGAAAACATGTGCTAATAAAAATTTTGGAGGGCTATAAAGCATCATTTTTTCAAAATCATATGTGACGGACATGGTCCAGTGGGCTTGTGTGTAGATCTTATGGAAATGACACCAAGTAGTCACTTTTAAGCATGATGCTTAAAATATATTTAGAGTTTACAATAATTTAAAGATTAGTCTATTCACTCAAATTTCAGGATATGACATCCTAAAGTTTAAACTACAAGACATCGGATCCTAAAGTTCAAAAATTATGTCCAGAAATTTGAATCTTATGTCCTAAATTTTAATAAGTAGTTCATAAATTTAGGACACTTAGTCCTGACAAATTAGCAGCTCAAAAATTTAGGACACTATGTCTTGAATTTCAAAATAACAACTCAAAAATTCAGGATACAAAAATTTAGGATACTTAGTCCTGAAGTTTGGGTAAATTGACTAATATTTAAATGGGAAAAGGTCCAAAATTGCCCCTATACTATGGTATATAGTTTAAGTTTGTCCCCCGTTATACTTTTCGCTCAAATATTCAGGATACAAATGTCTAGAAAGTTTTCATGTCTCCCTTCCCTATAACTTTTTCTTTTCCCCACACCTTTTACTTTTCTCTCTCTTCCATTTGTATTTTTATATATTTTTTTGGGTTACTTAGTAGTTAGCAAGTGGCTTTTACAAAGACATTTGTATAAATTTGAACATGCATTTTTTCACTAGCACAACTCATTTAACATCCTCCCCTTTTCTTATATTGATTTATTTTCTTATTGATTCATTTTGTAATTTTGAGTTGTTACTTAAAAAAATGGAGAAAAACAATTTTGCTTCTTCTTATTATTGTGTACAAATATTTGCTTCTTCTTCTTATTTTTGTTATGTGATTGCTTGTTCTTCATCATCTTCTTTTTCGGGTCCTAATAATATTTTATAAGTACCGATCTTTTAAAGTGGGTATTGGTGGTGAGTTAAAATTTTAATGGTGTTTGGAAGATACAATGCAATTTCATATAAAAGTTTTATATGCACAGTGTATAAAAGTTGTATATGCACCATTATATGTATATAATTATATTTTGTATAATAATGTTATTATAAAAATTGTATATAGATATTTTACAATGTATAAAAATTATATATACACTATTACATTGTATAAATTTTGCATATAAAGTGTATCTTGTATTCTTTAGTGTATATTATAAAAATTATATATAAACTGTTATAAAATGTATAAAAATTATATATATACTATTACGTTGTATAAATTTTGTATATAATGTGTATCCTCTATATTTTAGTGTATCCCTAATGTATCGTTAGTGTATATTCATGGCTCCGACTTCTTTACATCAGCCTTACAAATGTATGTATAATGTATATATGTTATATAATAGGTGTATATGTACGATTATATAATTTCTATACATTATTTATACAATGTAAATGTTGTTGATCGTTTAATGGTGTTTTGCTGGCCATTTTGGAGTGAACTCAATGACTCTTTTGGAATGAATTTTTATGCAGGTAGTTATTGCTACTATTTTCTTCTTCTTGTTCTTCTTTGGATTCTAAAGGTCTTTGTATATGAGATGTATAATTAGTGTATCTCATATACAATAAATTCATATTTAGTGTATCTTTTGTATATTCTGTGTATCAGTATACACTTTGAGTTTTTATAAAGTATACACTAACTATATATACTATGTATTGTGTATGTATACTATATAATATTTAAATATAGTATATACAAATTATATACATAATTTATACAAGATTGATACATATTACGCAAGTGTATTTTTGTATAAAAATTCTATATAACCCATTAATGTGTATAGAAGATGTATATTTACAGTTATACACTATTTAAAAGTTTTATATATAGTGTTTCATGAGTTTGACAATGTATTTTTAGTGTATTCCGAACATGTTGTATATTTTAAGTGTATAATATATATATATATATATATTGTTCAACAATGTATAAAAACGTGTATATACACTCTACTATTATATAATATGTATAGTACATGTACAATCTATACATCACCTTCTTCCCCTTCTTGTTATATCATGGGTGTTTTTGCTTATGCAATGTTATATTTTAGTAGATTGGATTACTAAAAATTTAATTTTTTTTTTTTGTAAAAGATAAAAAGGGGATTGTAATTTGTGTATAATAGGAAGAAGTTTGGTGGTTGTGGAGAAGACAATTGGGTTTCTCTTTTGTAATTTGGTGAAGCTTTTTTTTTCTAATTATTTTTTAGTTTTTCTCTTTTGATTTTTTTTTTTGAATTCACCAGCTCTTTATACTTTTGATCGAATTGATCTGTTTGTGTAATCGAAAAAAACTTATTTGACTGGAATAGTTTTATGCTTTACATTGGTTTGGACCGAAGATATATTTTTTTTACGAAAAAGGGCAAAAAATGCACCTAACATATTGAAAATGGCTCAAAAAAACCCTCTGTTAACCTTTCGGTCCGCAAATGCCCCTAACGTTTTGTTTTTGGGCTCAAACTTACCACTATATCTAACAGAAGAGCCAACAATACCCCTAACGTATTGAAAATGGCTCAGGACTACCCTCCGTTAATCTTTTGATCAGCAAATACCCCTAACATTTATTTTTGGGCTCAAACTTACCCCTATATCTAACAGAACTAACCTGGTCAATTTTTTGACTTTAATTTCACCATGTGGCATTTTCTTAATCCGCCACGTGTATTATTTATATTAAATAAACCCACATGTATCTTTTAAAATACCCAACGACCCTGACCCGCTCCTATATATTTGGACGGTCGGCTAAAAATAATTACATTCGCTAGTTAAATATATAAAAAATATATCTTAATTATATAAAAAAATATGTACATTATACATTAATATTTTAATATGTATTTTATATGATATTATTTTTAGGATAAATTATACAATGTAGTTTTTTCTATTAATTATGATCTATAACTCGAATTTATTAAGCAAATCTAACAATGGAATGACAGTTTTTGCTAATATTTTAGCTCTATCGTTATATATTAAAACACTATTAGTTCCCATTGAAAAGATCATGTGAAGTCCATTAATGTGGTAAGCAGTTGGATATGTATATAATTAAAGGTTTTAAATAATTTCCTTTCCATATGTTTCTTTGCTTCTCCTTTAGAATAATATAAATAGAACATTATCATTTTTATCTTTGCAAATTAAAATTTATATTTGTTAAACTTGTTAAAATCTGCAAAATTTGAAGGGAAAACTACACAGTATAATTTCTCCTAAAAATAATATCATGTAAAATATATATTAAAATATTAATGTATAATATACATATTTTTATATATAATTAATGTATAATTTTTTTATATATATTTAACTAGCGAATGTAATTATTTTTAGCCGACCGTCCAAATATATAGGAGCGGGTCAGGGTCGTTGGGTATTTTAAAAGATACATGTGGGTTTATTTAATACAAATAATACACGTGGCGGATTAAAAAAATGCCACATGGCGAAGTTAAAGTTAAAAAATTAACCAGGTTAGTTCTGTTATATATAGGGGTAAATTTGAGCCCAAAAACAAACGTTAGGGGTATTTGCTGACCAAAAGGTTAACAGACGGTATTCCTGAGCCATTTTCAATATGTTAGGGGTATTGTTGGCTCTTCTGTTAGAAATAGTGGTAAATTTGATCCCAAAAATAAATGTTAGGGGCATTTGCGGACCAAAAGATTAACAGAGGGTATTTTTGAGCCATTTTCAATATGTTAAGAGCATTTTTGGCCCTTTTTCGTATTCTTTATTACTTTAAATGAGATTTTTAAGATCAAAAATCACTTGAAATACTTGACATGGGGTTTAGAATGCGACTAATGAGATTTTTATTTTACTGACTAGCTATTATAATTAATTTTTGACTTCAACTTGAATAATAGATTTGTGGTCTAGAAATTGTCAAAAGTTTTAGTGAGAGCGGCTAAAAGTGAAATTGACTCTTTTTTGGGTTGCATTTCAGAGGAGCCCAGAACCCGAGTATCAGAACTGGAGTACCCATTAAACCGTAAACATTTTGGGAGTTTTCATTCCCGGTGGGGGAGTGGTTGTTACGAGTAACTGGAAAGAGATTCGCAGCGGAGCGTGAACTCAACGCGTGATTAGATGGGAGAAAACAGCTCTGTTACCGCCACACCACCACCGCCACCGGGAAAATCCTCCGCTGAGGAGGACGCGCTTCTCAAGCAATTCTTCGCTGAGGTCAGCGAGGTTGAGCGCGATAACGAAGTTAACAGGTCCAGCCCCCGCTTACACACACACACACACACACTCTAAAGAACACATATATAGCTTTTTATAGCAGATGAAATGCAAATTCAATATTGCTTTTTATATGTTTGATTCTAGTTTCTTCGTTTGGTTTTAAAACTTAAAAACTCTGCAGGATACTTTCATGTTTCAAGTTGAATCCATTTGAATACCTTAACATGTCGTTTGATTCATCCATTGACGATGTTAAAAAGCAGTATCGCAAGGTATATGTCTTAAACATCCCCATTGGACTCAAATGAGTCCATTTTTTAATATCATATTTTGTGACTCCACCCTAATATCTTTTACATAAATTACGTATGTGCAGTTGTCTTTGCTTGTTCACCCTGATAAATGCAAGCATCCACAAGCGAAGGAGGCATTTGGTGGTAAGAATAGTCACTCTGTGTTGTTCCTCGTGTAAAGGAGAGTATTTTTATTTTAGGTACTTTCTTGGGTGAGGGACTTCTCTATTCAAACAAACATTCATTATGTATTGGATGAATGCTAAGGTTCATATTTCTTAGTTCCTTAATCCCCCAAGGCTTTGGTTTAGTGGTACAAGCGCAACTTGTGATGTGTGGCTTAGGCACATGTCACGGGTTTGTATCGTGGCGCAACCTGGTATTTAAGTGGAGAAGGATAGAAGGCAAGCATATTATCCACTTAATTTCGAACAGTGCACCACTCGCCCTCGGGGGGTTTCATGGTTATTAAAAGATTTTTTTTTGGTTCTTTAGTCTTATAAATGTATCTTTTCACTGAATATTTGGGTTATGCTTTAATTGTTATCCCTGTTCTGCTCAGTAGGTTGTTTAATGTTTATAAATTGGTATCTTTCATGTAGAGACTGCCCCTTAAATGATCTTTTTCAAGTATAGACCGCCTGTTAAATGATCGGTTAAAAACATTTTGCCTCGAGAAAGATTTTTCATAATGAATGGGTAACCTACTAAAGAGAGCAGAAGACTGCGGTTCCTGGGCCATTAATGTGAAACCTATGTTGCTTGGACTCTTCAAAATCCATGCCACACTAAAGAGGAAGTTAGTTGGAGGCCGACTTTGGGGGGAATAGAGTTCAACCATATAGGGGAGGGAGACAACGAGTGGCTAGAAAGGGCTTTCGAGGAGGAGGAGGTGCACGAGGTTGTGTCGTGTTGTGCTGGCGATAAGGCCCCCGAGCCTGATGGTTTCTCCTTGGCTTTCTTTCAGTTCTTCTGGGACACCATCAAGGGGGAGTTGATGGAAGCCATTGAATACTTCCATGCGAATGGTGTTTTCGAGAGAAGTATCAATGCTTCCTTTATTACTATTGTGCCTAAGAATGAAGGTGCATCTTGTATAAGAGACTACAGGCCTATTAGTCTCGTGGGGAGCATTTACAAAATTATTTCTAAAGTGCTTTCCAACAGATTTAAGAAGGTACTTGACATGACTGTTTCGTCCTCCCAAAATGCGTTTGTGGAAGGTAGGCAGATACTGGATGCTGCCTTGGTGGCAAATGAACTTGTAGACTCCAGAAGGAAAAATAGAGAACCCGACTTACTATGCAAGTTGGATCTTGAGAAGGCTTTCGACCATGACAATTGGGAGTTCCTGGGCTTCATTATGATGTGGATGGGGTTTGGGGAAAGATGGAGGGGATGGATAAAGTTCTGCATTTCCTCAGTCAGATTCTCTATCCTGGTTAATGGTAGCCCGTGTAGTTTCTTTGGGAGCTCCAGGGGTCTCAGGCAAGGTGACCCCCTATCCCCCATGTTATTCATTCTAGTGATGGATGCTCTGAGCAAGATGATGGATCGTGCGGCGGGAGGAGGTTTCTTGAGAGGATTCTCAGCTCCGATTGGGGTGCACAGTGCCCGAAGAGTCTCACATCTGCTTTTTGCGGATGACATACTGGTTTTCTGTGATGCCGACATGAATCAGTTGACCTACCTGAAGCAAGTCCTGCAGTGGTTCCAGTTAGTATCAGGACTCAAAATCAACATCGGCAAGTGATTCTTTGGGAGCTCCAGGGGTCTCAGGCAAGGTGACCCCATATCCCCCATGTTATTCATTCTAGTGATGGATGTTCTGAGCAAGATGATGGATCGTGCGGCGGGCGGAGGTTTCTTGAGAGGATTCTCAACTCCGATTGGGGTGCACAGTGCCCGAAGAGTCTCACATCTGCTTTTTGCGGATGACACACTGGTTTTCTGTGATGCCGACATGAATCAGTTGACCTACCTTAAGCAGGTCCTGCAGTGGTTCCAGTTAGTATCAGGACTCAAAATCAACTTCGGCAAGTGTGAGATTTTTCCGGTAGGTGTGGTTACTAATATTGATGCCTTGTCTGGTGTTCTCAAATGCAAGGTGGGTTCCCTTCCCACTACTTACCTGGGTCTCCCTTTGAGCGCTTCATATAAGGATACTACGGTTTGGAATCCAGTGATCGAACGGGTTGAAAAAAGATTAGCAGGGTGGCAGAAACGATATTTGTCAAAAGGAGGTAAGAAAGTGCTTATCAAAAGCACTTTATCGAGTATGCCCACCTATTACTTATCACTGTTGCAAGCACCGGTGAGCATCACAGAAAAACTGGAGCGACTTCAAAGGAACTTTCTGTGGGATGCGGCGGATGGAACTAGAAAGTTTCATCTAGTGAATTGGCAGACAGTCACTTCCCCAAAGAAGTGGGGTGGACTTGGAGTGAAAGATCTTAGGGTATTTAACAGAGCTTTAATGGGAAAGTGGCTGTGGAGATTCGGGGTAGAAGAGCATGCTCTATGGAGGGAGGTCATAGTAGAAAAGTACGATTCAACGGGAGGGGGTTGGAGGACCAAGGCGATCACAACACCTTTCGGGTGTGGCATGTGGAGGAGTATCATGAAGAATTGGGAAGCATTCAGTGGCAACATCACTTACAGGGTGGGAGATGGAAGGAGAATCAGCTTTTGGAATCATAGGTGGTGTGGAGAGGATACTCTCAGGGTCTACTTCCCCCACGTCTTCAGAGTTTCAAACCAGAAAGAACTGATGGTCCAACAGATTCGCAAGGGACTTGAAGGGGGTAGTTTGGGACCTCTCATTCTTGTGGAGCTCCAAGTTTTGTTGGCGCTGCTATACGGGCAAGACAGGCTTCAGCCATCCTGTGACTCTTGGAGATGGGGCTTGCGTGACGATGGTTTGTTTACCGTAAAGTCCTTTTACCAGAGTATGTTGGTGAGAGAGGAGACCACATTTCCACACTCCTCGATCTGGATTCCTAGGGCGCCCACGAAGGTGTTCTTTTTTGCATGGCTAGCGGCAAGGGGAGTGATCTTGACTGCTGAAAATCTCCGAAAGAGGGGAATTACACTTGTTAGTTGGTGCTACATGTGCAAAAGCTCAGGGGAAGAAGTTGATCACCTTATGTTGCATTGCCCTGTGTCCTCTGCTTTGTGGAGGGCAATCCTGAATCTTTTTGGTGTTCAATGGGTGATGCCAAGCACTGTAAAGGAAATGTTACATAGTTGGGGCGGTTTTCGGAGAAGAAGAGAGCAGAAGGCGTGGAAGTTCGCCCCGTTAGCTCTCATGTGGGTAGTATGGGGGGAGAGAAATAGGAGAACTTTTGAGGAGATTGAGTCTCCTTTTTCACATCTTAAAAATAGTCTTTTATCTTTGATCGCTTTTTGGTGCACTCATTTAGCCCCTACTTGTATAGAAGATTGGGCATTTTTTGTAGAGAATCATGTTCTGATGTAAATTCTCTACGTCTTTGGTATACTTCGTGTATACGGGAGTTCTCTCCCTTTTGATTAATACAATTTACCTTATCAAAAAAAAAATACTAATATTCAATTTTTTTCTTTCAGAAATTCTCAAGTTCCCATTTATCTCTCTGGTGTTTATTTTTCGTAATTACTTTCATGTCCATAACTCTCGTTTAATCATGTATAACACTATTTTTGTTTCTATAAATACACATGAATGATCACTTCAGAAGTATAGTCTATGCTGGACTGTGTCACTATAGCAAAGGCAAATTTCACTACTTCAGAATTTTGGTTTGTACTGGGCTCATCTTCTTAACTAACTGGATAAAGCCTTTTCTTTTAATTAAGCTTCAACTTTTGATTATTTAGTGTATTGCTTGAAGTAGTGGTTGATCGAATTTTCATTTTCAGATTGCAGAATAATGAGTTTCTTATCATGTTTCCCTGCTTAATTGATCATTCAACTTGGAGCACTTTATTTTTCAAATAGCACCGTGCCGATTTCTCATTGTTTGAATGGTAGTACCGGACCCTTCACCACATTGTCAACTTAGTTACTTGTCATGGTAAAATGAAATGGTTTAGTGCTGGAATCAGTTATTCTGTGTGTCGTTTTCCCTTCTTTTTCTAAAAAAAGGAATCAATATTCTATGGTCACAATCTTTAAGGACTATCAAAAGAATGCACTTTCAGGAGAAATATCACAGATGTTGAGTCAAAAGAATCAGAAGAAGCAATGGAGAGAGCTCGAAAGGAGTTTAAGCTTTTTTTGAATTTCAAAAAATACAGGCTTACCTGTAGTCTTACTGTAGGATGATTTAGTTTGATTTATTATTTTACTGCTCAGTATGAAGTAGCTGTTTTATATCTATCCCTTCCTGCTTTTGAATTCTTTTATGCAATTCTTTCTCATGTTCTATGCAGCCTTAGCTAAAGCGCAACAGTTATTGCTTGATCCACAGGAGAGGGATTACATTCTGAACCAAGTTAATGCGGCAAAAGGTCCGCCATCACTTCGCTATTCCTTTTTGTGTCCTTTTTGCGTGGATAGACTGCATTCACATTTTACTGTATTTCTGATGGAGCTTTAGAACAGGCCTTGCAACTCTTCAGTGGTCTGAGTTCAACAAAACTGTGTCAGCATTTGTTCGTGACTGTTTTCTTTTTGGAAAAAAGCGTCGTTATTTTTTCGGGAAATACCTTCACTAGGTAGCGGTAAGGTCTACGAACAAATGCTGACACAGTTTTGAGCGTCGTTATTTTTTCGGGAAATACCTTCACTAGGTAGCGGTAAGGTCTACGTACGCACTACCCTCCCCAGACCCCACATGTGGAAATATACTGGGTATGTTGTTGTATTTTTCAGGAAATAGGGTTCGTTTCAAAATTTTGAATTTTTTTGCAAAAAGTTGAAATTTTGGTTAAAGATTAAAGAGGTGCTGAGGAGCTGATATTCACCTTAAAGATCTTCTTTCACTCACAGAAAACACACATAAATTCTCTAAAAACAACAACTATCCAATCAAATCAGCTTGCACAACTTTTTGTTCAAAATGATGTTCAGACGTATGATTTTCTGTACTTATATGTGCATAATGATGATCAATAGGGGGCAAGTGGATTGTTGGTTTTGCTTTTGGAAGTCTTCTTCTGTAACTCAACATGGATAAATGGAGACTGTTTTGCATTCCCATCATGGAACTAGTATATGAATTATTCTTCTGGTTTCTCTGTCTCTGTCATTTTTTTGTCTCCTTACACTGGAAGTTACTTGTTTTCCCCTTTTTGTGTATGAGCACAGAAGAACTAAGATCAAAGTGGAAGAAGCAGCTTAAGAAAGACACTGCTGGCAAATTGAAGTCATTAGTTACTGCGGTAACTCTGCAATTGTCTCAGATTTTATCTACTTCATCTGAATTTAGCTGGAAATATTGCTTCTGGATATTTGGAGGGTGAATTTTCTTTTGAAGCTGAAACGCATTATTTCTTACAATGACACCGTGTTCATCTATACACAACCAAAACCACATTGAACCGTGCAGGTGACCGACTCCTTGATTTGGTTCTGTAACTTGATGTGTTTTGGACTTAATCTTTTCTCTACATTTCTACTGGTAACTTCTTGGTGAACTCCTTGTGTTTTGTTTCTTCCCGACTCTTATTCCACCTTAATGATTTGGGCAGGGAACTTACATGGCTTACGTTTCAGTAGAGCATTTAAGAAAATTTTGTAGCTCTATGTAACTTTTGAGTTTCAAATGGTTGATTTCTTTACCTTCTGATTGTGAAAACAGGGAAAATATGACCAAGAACATGAGCAGTCACAGGAATTTCAGCAGCAGCTGAAGTTGAAGGTTAGAGAAATATTGACAGAACAAGAATGGCGGAGAAGAAAAATGGCAATGAGAGTATGTTCCCGTGCTGTTTTCTCTATCTATCATCTTTCTGAATTTTTACTTAAGCTTCCTTGTGGATTTTATGCAGATTTCTGAAGAGGAAGGTCGCTTGAAGAAAGATGAGGAAGAAACAAAGGAGATGTGGAAAAGAAAACGTGAGCATGAGGAGCAGTGGGAAGGAACTAGAGAAAAGAGGGTTAGTTCTCAATTGCATTATGTACCTTACTGTTTCATGATTTATTTTTAAATTTACTGCACAAGATCACTATTATACTCCATCAGAGTGAGGTAGAATAGATTGCGACTATCTGAACTTGATGACTTTTATTCAGTGCACACCTGAACTTTTCGTTGTCCTAATTACTCCCCTGAACAAGACATTTCATTATCCTCGACCCCCCTAGATGATCTCAACCCATGGAAGTGTGACATACATGCTGCCACGTGGATTTTTTTGTCCGCGTGACATTTTTTAAAATAAAATATATATTTTGAGCTTTGTAAATCCACCCATTATTTGGATCATCCTTTTCGGGTCAAATTTGTAAAAAACTTGGAACAATATCATTTTGGCTACCATTTTTTTATTTGGCTAAAGATAATGATATTCTAGTCGAGTTGTTTTTACATATTTGCTTAGAAAAGAAGAAATACACAATTAGAACAAATAATCATTGCATCTAAAGAAGAAATAAAAAGAAATACTCAGTTGGAACTCCTTTATTTTGGCGAATGAAATGTTTTGGCTAAAAATAATGAAACTCCAACCAAATATTTTACAAATTTGACCCCAAAAAGAATAAATACACCGTTGAAATAAATAGTCCCCGCATGAAAAGAAGAAATGCACATTTTTTTTCTCTTCTAGAAAATACATCGTTTGAACTCCATCACTTTGGCTAAACCATCTTTTTTATTTGGCTAAAATAGTGGAGTTTCAACTAAGTTTTGCAAATTTGATCCTGGAAAATGGAGAAGACATAAAGAGGAAACAAAATACATTTTTGGATAAAATATGCAATGTATATTAAGAAGAAACAAGGAGAAGTGCAGTTGGAACAAATAAATCATTGTATTTGATTATGTGACAATTAATAGTTGGAAAATACCCCACTTGGAAGCCGATTTTTCGATTTTTCTTCCCCCACGCGCCTAAAAGATAGTATATTCATGTTTTTTGCCACATCAACGTCCAAGGCGGCCGAGGCTATTAAATTGCTAAGTTCAAGGGGGTAATGAGAACCAAAACTAGTTCAGGTGGAGACTGAATAAAAAGTATCAAGTTCAAGGAGGTCTCAATATTTTTCGCCAATTTATGAAGTATTTTTGCACTCCTCACCTTGCTTTGAAAAGTAGCACCAAAGGTTTTCCAATTTGTGGCACTCATTTGAATAAGATCTTGTTTTTCTTTCAACAAGTCAAATAACTTACACTATTAGCACAAAAGACGGTGTCAAAAGTATCTAAGTTTGTGGCTCAATTGTAATCTATGATGTGAAAAAGTGATTGTCTCTTTGCTCCGAAATATGAACGAAAAATAAGCTTGTTATACTTGTCAACTTCATCTCACTATTGTGAAATAATCTCCTAGTTCTTTCCTTGCAAATAATCCGAAGAGACATACTTGTGTTTTTTCTTCAAGCTGCCTTCCGTTTGCTCCAATCTTCTGTAACATCTAACTCACCATTTCTTGTGTTCACACCATAAACTTAAGACAAGGAGAAGGCCTAGGTCCATAACTGTTATGTATAGCTGCAGCGCAACTGGAGTTTACGTTTTAACTAGCTTGCTGGAATACTTATTTTATGTTGATTGGAGTATGTTTTTCTTTCATATAACTTGCAGGTGAACTTCTTAGTTACTACTTACCTATCTTGCTTGTTGCTTGACAGGACTATTCGCTTTTTATTGCTCGTCACAAAAATCGAAAAATACTAATGGTGTATCCTCGGTTATTCTTGACGCGTAGGAACAGCAGCACTATAGTTAAATGTTATCTGAAATATAATCTACCGGAAGATTTCTTTGTGATAGCTGAATTCCACTTCTTCGTGTCATCAGGTGTCCAGCTGGAGGGATTTCATGAAGGGCGGGAAGAAGGTAAGTTTGGTTTGCTTAGATTGCAATCAACACCATCCTCCACCACTTTATTGTAATATGGTAAAGAATAGGGTGTGGGTGGCGAGCATTTTATAATCGAAATTTCAACATGCTTTTTTGCAGGTTAAGAAAGGAGAGATTCGCCCTCCAAAGCTTAAGACAGAAGATCCCAACAAATCTTATGTTCAAAGACCAGTTAAACGAGGTTAACACGTGTACTTGATAGTTTTTTTATTCCTTTCACACTTACGTAAATCTCATCCACGCTTAAGAACTGGCATCTTTATAAAGTTGTATACTTTGAGAAACTAATTATGGAGCAGCAAATTACACTAAGATGGCAGCTTTTGGCATTCTCTTCTGCACTGGTTACCTTATTAGATCATCAGACTTCCTAATGAAAGGTGAATGTGTACTGCACCTTGTAAGCATTTAAATAAAGACGAAAATAAAAAGGATAAATAGTAGATGACCAGCTATTTTTTTCATATCTTTTTCTTGTTCGCGTGGAAGTGGCAGCAATACAATTACACAAAGTAACCACCTCTAAGATACATGAATTACGACAGCAATCATATGTGGGGGACGACTCAAGTCCTCTTCTACCGTAGACAAAAATGATACACCCTAAACGATGAGAAAATTATGTAGGATTAACAAGGAATAGAATACAACAAAAACCCAGCACTATCCACTCGGAACTGGCTCCTTAACAAGGAATAAAATACAATAAAAATCCACCCGAATCTAGCTCTGCATCATGATAAAATCCTTCTACCTCTTCTGGCTCGCTGTACAAAGGGCAACTATTGGAAACCCCGAACTGATGAATTGACCATGCGCTTGCAACCTCCAATATCTAAATCTGATTCTCTGAAAGTATGTTTTCTTGTGGAAGAATCCCCAAGGTGCCTCAAGCATTCAGATTTTCAATAGGATAAGCATCTCCACGGAACTCTGTGAATGGTGTCGTGCTATGTACATATCACTGGAAATCCTACATGTTAGCATGAGCCTGGAAGTAAAGCAAAATAATCGAACTATATTCTAAATCCAAGTGAGAGAACCTCGATCGTTGGCAACTTGAGGACGTCCTCTAGTTGGTGTAGGTGGTCTGTTAGCATTTAGCTCCTATCCCAACAATTGTAAGACTGATTAGATACACATTAAAGCAGAGAATATGTGGGTCGAAGAAGATCTGGAAATAACAAACCTGCATCCAAGTGTCCTCTATATGCCGCTCTGGTGAAGTTTCAGGAGATGTTGCTGGCGGCAACGGGTGAATAAGTTTCGGAACTACAACAAGATCTCTACCCAATACCAAGATAGCACCAGCATTATTAGCAGTACCTATAGAAAGGGAAAAAAGAACACAAATATTTTGCATAAAGATAAATCATATATATAAAGTAGAAAACCTCCAAACATCCAAAAAATATAACATCATACCACAGTAATTAGTGGCTGAGAAAAGTGTAATTAAATGTCCCTGAGCAAATCGTTCAAATCCATCCATCACACATTCATGTGCCCGGACTATCAGTTGAAGATCATTGTTGTTGCAGAATTCCATCACACGATCAGGCTGCATGTATGCAAGTGCTTACATTAGTGCGACAGGAAATGCTAGAGAAACTACATCAGGATAGCAGTGATATCTCATATTCAAGCACCACATAAACTGAAGTACCAAAACTCCAGTTCAGAAAACAGATAAGTGACTTCAAGGACTTGTGAGTTCAATTGTCTTGAATGAAAAGAGCTTGGACATAGAAATTAAAAACGTCCAACTTACTAAGATGGAAGGGGCTGCAATTGCACAAAACAAACTCAAGAAAATGACAGCCCATAGAATGTCAATCTTAACTGTATGTTTGAAATATCATATCTTTCTGTACTGGGCCCTTTTAAGTAACTCCAGTTAACTAATAAGAATGTTGCAGCTTCCCAAAATAAGAGACAATAGTTGAACGAAAACAAAAGATTCCACTACCCCAAAACAAGATCAAGAGAAAATTAACTCACTGAAATTGATACGGAATGAAAATTACTCACCCCAAAAGTGACCAACCCTGGACCTCTTGCATTTGGTCTTAATCCTTCAACGCTATCATTTTCTGTTGGGTCAGACCTAGAAACACACACTGATGTGAGAAAATATGAGTATGTAAAGTCAATGAAGGAAGCACAAGAGAAGAGAGAGACTAACCACAATAAATCCATAAGAACAATTGAGCCAGCATCCATAGTGATAGGACGCTGGATATTTTCTATTTGTTCAACATGATTAATTGACCTTCCAATACCACCATGCATACAGATTATCTTTTTCTCGATTAATGCTGCCAGAGGTAGCCAGTTGAACAATCTATTAAATCGATGCCATGCCCAAATTCCATCTCGCTCACCCTGTTGCATAAATGGACATCAGTATCCAGCTTGGACGGCAAGGACAAGCTTCACCCAGTAAATCATAACATACCATCCGTTCGATGCACTCAATTCGAAAGCCGAAAAGCGCATTAATATCTGCAGCTTCATGGTTCCCACGAATTAGATGTACATTGAGGGGATACTCAACCTAAAGCATCAATTTATGATCATCAAAATCACAGAGTAACTAAGAAGTTGAAAGCATACCAAACATCCAGATATAAGAGGTACCTCTAAAGCAAGAAGAATTAGATACAAGAGGTACCTTTAAAGCAAGAAGAAGAGTTATCGTTTCCAAACTGTGCTGGCCTCTGTCAACATAATCTCCTAAGAATAGGTAGTCAATATACCTGGTATTCACTTACCAAAATTAGTATCAAACTAAAAGAACAAATCTTGACACATCAAACTGATCTAACTGATAGATCAATCCAAAAAATGGTACAAGTCTGCAGGAGTCAGAAGGACATGAGAGACAGCAAATAGACACCAAGAGAATACTGTGACAGCCTCACCTGAGACCGAGTAAGTCACTTAGAATATTAGTTTTGATGTATAAAGGCTGCATAATCTTCTACATAGGATATTTGGTTATGCTACATAACTTCAATTGAAGACAACTACAGGATTTTATAATCAAATGGTTCCATTGCACAAAATCACAGTATATGGCGGAGAAACACAGCCAAGATGAGAAAGTACAATTATTATTCCTAATTTGAGCAATTGGGGATAATTCAGACCTTGTAAACAATATGAATTAAAACAGATTTTCATATGGGTCGGATAATGGGTTTGGGCAAATGAACCGGATGTTTTAAAATATGTATTGGCCCTCCACTTGTTGATTTTAATGATGGGTCCGGGTCCCTTAACGGCTGAGTGGTATTTGTGTTCAAATGTGTAACGGTAGGGCTATACACAGTCGAATACTCAAATGGAGGGTAGATATGAACAACTCTCAAAAGCAGAGGGGTAAATATGACCGTTTTCCATAAAATCAATATCAGAATTCTGATAGCCCTACCGAGACACCAGACAGTTACAACACGAGCAAACTGCGACCCCGCAATTTTCAATAAAAATATCCATTCAAAATAAAAAGAGGGTAAATCGAAAAAATACTGCAATCCAAGGAATTTATGCTGTCAAAGGGCTTGGACAGAAAACAAAACAGGTAGAAGCAAGATTGAGTCAAGGCACTTACGATATATCCCCAGCAGTCGATGGGGAACCATACTCATCGAAAAGACGCATAAGATCCCCAAATTGCCCATGCAAGTCACCAAATATCTTAATAGGAGCCCTAAGCTGTAAAACGCTAGGTTCACTCGCAAATATCCTTTCGGCACTGTCACAAAGATCAGCCATCTCATTGCAGTCCAAGAAAAATTGCCGCCGAACAGGCGGCTTCCAGCCACGAGGCTTCAAAAGATGGGCAATCACCTGAGACAGTAAGGAAAAGAAATGATATAACTAACAAAATGCAGTTATTTGTCTTCATACGAAAATAACAGATTAAGTTATAAAGATGATGGCAGTTACATTTAGTACAGAACAGGTAAGTCTCTGCTTGAGATTCAGAATGGNAAAAAAAAAAAAGAAAAAAACCCTCTGAACTCACCCTACAAGGCCACAAGACACAAAGAAGGAAATAAAAATATTATTCTCCCTCTCTTTCTTCCCTTCAAAGTATTGTTACACACTTTTACTCTCCAGTTCTTCATACAACTTCTTAGAGACCTAGAGTTATACTCACTTCAAATATATCTACAGTTTACAATGCATTTAAATATTAGTCAATTTACCCAAACTTCAGGACTAAGTATCCTAAATTTTTGTATCCTAAGTTTTTGAGTTGTTATTTTGAAATTCAAGACATAGTGTCCTAAATTTTTGAGCTGCTAATTTGAAATTCAAGACTAAGTGTCCTAAATTTCTGAACTACTAATTTAAATCCAGGACATAAGATTCAAATTTCTGGACACAATTTTCGAACTTTAGGATACGATGTCTTGAAGTTTAAACTTTAGGACATCATATCCTGAAATTTGAGCGAATCTTTAAATTATTGTAAACTGTGAATATATTTTAAGCATCATGCTTAAAAGCGACTACCTGGTGTCATTTCCACAAGATCTACACACAAGCCCACTGGACCAGGTCCGGCACATATGATTTTGAGGAAATGACGCTTTATAGCCTTCCAAAAATTTTATTAGCCCATGTTTTCCTCATTGACCCGAAATAACCTTTAGGCCCAATTTATTGACAAGTTGTATCCACTTTTCTCAATACATAGATTCTCCTCCTCTTGGAACCCTGGTTTTTCTCTACCCAAGCTGTAGTTCCCTAACTTTTTTTCTTTTTCTACGTATCCCAAGGTATAGTTCCCTTTCCTAGAACTTTTCCTTTTCCCCACACCTTTTACTTTTCTCTCTCTTCCATTTGCATTTATATATATTTTTTTTTGGTTACTTAGTAGTTAGCAAGTGTCTTTTACACTTGTATAAATTTGGACATGCATTTTTCCACTAGCACAATTCACTTAACATCCTCCCCTTTCCTTATATTCATTTCTTTTCTTATTGATTCATTTTGTAATTTTGAGTTGTTACTTAAAAAAAGGAGAAACACATATTTGCTTCTTATTTTTGTTATGTGATTGCTTGTTCTTCATCATCTTCTTTTTCAGGTCCTAAATATATTTTATAAGTACATATCTTTTGAAGTGGGTATTGGTGGTGAGTTAAAATTTTAATGGTGTTTGGAAGATACAATGCAATTTCATATAAAAGTTTTATATACACAGTGTATAAAAGTTGTATATGCACCGTTATATGTATATAATTACATTTTGTTTAATGTTATTATAAAAATTGTATATAGACTGTTTTACAATGTATAAAAATTATATATACACTATTACATTGTATAAATTTTGCATATAAAGTGTATCCTGTATTTTTCAGTGTATATTATAAAAATTGTATATATACTATTACATCGTATAAATTTTATATATAAAGTGTATCCTCTATATTTTAGTGTATCCCTAACGTATCGTTAGTGTATATTCATGGCTCTGAATATATCTAGAGACCTAGAGTTATACTCACTTCTATGGTTGGAGCCAAATTCCGTAGATGAAGCAGCAAAAGTTTCAATTTGCTGCTTCTAAAAATTCTTTTTGGATTTTTCTTCTTTCCTCACTTCATGATTAATCGAACCTGGATGAATTCTGGCTCTAATAGTTGCGCCCATTCTTAACCTGTTCTGAAAGGGTCAGCTCATGCTGAAAGAAGCATCCTCACTTAGCTATCAGCAAATCTTTTTCTTTAACATTAAATAGGAATTTAGATGCAACCACGGTCATTGCAAACCTAAGGTTAGGTTGTTGGATGGGAGATATAATGAAAAAATGAAACCTTCAATCAACGAAAAGAGCTGACAATAGGATCAGTGATGGTGAGCGGTCTCACATTCTTCGATGAAAAGCATATGGTTAAAGACCTAACCTAGCATATTTTTGCCCGATCCTTCTATTATTAAGTCTGGAAGGTACAATTTTGATCTGTTTCAATTCTTTTGAAGGTTTGACGGTCTTGAAAGATGAAAGAAAAGTAACTGTGGTATCTTCAAGACACTCCTCTCCTTTTTTCCGCTCTCCGACTCAAAGATAAGACGCGTACAATATGATCTATCATATTTTCAAAATCCAATCCTACTAGACACTAAAGTAATTGTTAACTTGAGGCAGGGAATTGGTAGAACACTGCTTTTCACTAGAGGCAAAATACAGGTAAATTCTTTAAGAAGAAATTAAAATGATAGGAGTAAGACATGAGCAGTCTGACATTAGTTTCAGATTTTGCTTTAAAGAACCACATAAACCTTTCCACCATATGCATTTTCATTTTTAACTCTGACCTCTATTTGGTAGCTGCATTTCTCCAGGGAAAAAAAACTAATAAATAAATGACAAAACAGCTATTCCTCCAAATTTGTGCATTACGACAGTCACCTCTTCCTCCTGCTATAGAGCTATGCTGTGTGTGTGTGTGTTGTTTGTGGGGGGGGGGGGGGGGGGGGTGTTACTTTTGCGCTACCAAATAGGGCCGTTTCGATATCTAGCTGTTAGATGTTACACATGGTCCTTCAGACAACTACACCCAAAGAAAAAGAGGCAAGAGCAAAATACACTGGATCTGAACAACGCAGCAACTTATGTAGAAAACGTTATGCACTAACTGCAAGCAGTTTACCCTTTTTACTTGCATGAATAACACATCAGACAAATAATGGTAAGCCACATTGTGATATGTAATCAGGCTATGCATCTAGAGACAAATCATTTACCTTTTTGGGAACACTGTTGATGGACATTTGACGATCCAATAGT